ACCCGGTAGCGGGTGATTAGCGGACTGAAGGTATTACTAATGTAGCTGAGCAAGGTGACCGCCAGCGTTCGCGGCACCGTACTTCATCTTTTGGATTCCAGATTTCATTTTATATATATATATGACCCTGTTGTTATGTTCCTACTTCTTAGATGCTCGTGACTTGTGACACCCCGGTCGGGTAGTAATTAACAGTTTCTATTGCCATTAAGTTGTATCTTCTATTCATTTATGTTTAATAATTGTTAGTGAAAGGATTTGGGTTAGTTGGTTGGCCTTGTCTTCACGAGAAGCGCCATCACGACCGGGTATGGGAATTGGGTCGTGACAAGTTGGTATCAGAGCCTAGGTTACTAGGTCTCACGAGTCATGAGCATGTTTAGTAGAGTCTCGCGGATCGGTACGAAGACGTCTGTATTTATCCTCGAGAGGCTGCAGAACCTTTAGGAAAACTTCCCATTCTTGGAATTCTTATCGTGCGTACTTGATCCAGCTTGAGATATAACTCTTGAAATTCCTTCCACACGTCTGTATGCGCACGTGAGCGCTCAGTATTATGTGTGCCTCGATGGTTTGTGATTCCCCGATCGAGGGGCGAGATGTGATCTTCGTGAGTATGTTGGGCCAGTCTGGAGGACTTGAGGTCGGATCTTTGCCTATGGCTTGAGCACTGAGGTGCTGATTGTGTGAGCAAGTGTTTTGAACTTATATGTTCGGTAATGTCCTTATTAGCCGGAATGGCTGTTGGATATCCATGTGCTGAGTATGTTAGAATTGTGAGATGTATCTATATGACTTGGTAGTGACGAAGAGGTCTGTTGGATAATAGATGAACTGTTAAGTGTTCGATTCCTATTGTGATTTGATGTGTAGCCCGAATTAAGGGCGCGTGAAGAATATTTTCGTGTCTCCTAGTTGGTAAGTAAAGTGCATTACATGTGGCGGTACGAGTTCAGACGCAGGAAGACTAAATTGACGATGTAACGTATGTGATGGTGGAAGGTGTGCTGAAATACTAAATTGAGGTGGAGCAGGTGGATTATCTCCTGCAGAGTATTCTTAAGTGGTACGATTCTTATGTGTATTAATAGAAGATCTCATGTGTAATTGAAAAGTACGAGTTGAAAGTTGATAAATTCGGGTCGCTCTAGAGGGTGGACTCAACTGATGTGGGGATGAATGCGAGGTTTGTAGAGGATTACAGTACTAGATGATCTGTGTTTTCACAAACTTGTAGATGATTTGAGTTTAATCTCACTATGACATTGTGGCATCATTAGAGTAAAAGTGTTATGAGTTGTTAAGTGTGTCTTGATATATGGCTTCGAGCCAAGTTGGGGAGGTTGCTGCTGATTAGCTGATTGCACGGTTATGTGCTATGTTGGGTACGTCTCGAGGTATGCTGGCGAGTTAGTTCTAGTTACACAGATTGAGCCGAGGATGGCACGAGTGAAGCAAAATTTCGACAAAGGTTATATTATGTTCCATAGGGTATGAGAATTACGGAATGTCTAGAGTTGTTGTTGGTAGAGGATGATCGGTGCATAGAGCAGGAAGTGCTTGGTTGTATTGGGATGAGAGTCTCATTTTACGGTATCGGAATGCTAATAAAGCACGAATGGTTCTGTTCGTTAAGTCAGGTAAATTACAGTTGTATAAGAGAGAATGACTCTCGAGAATGGTTTTAATGTGTTCAAGAATCTACATGTAGCACTCAGGTGTTTTAAGGTGGTGTATGTGACTAAAGACAGTGTTTCAATAGAAAATGTCAAGACTTGTGGTATTTTTATGTTGATCATGGGATCCTATGTGTCGATACCTGGAAAGTAAAGGAAGCGAATTTAGATTCGCAGAAAGTTCTCAGAGTGAAGTATTCTGGAATGTGGTATTTCTGGGGAACAATTGAGAGAGTATTCAGTGGCCTATGGGTCTTAGACAGTGTGGTCTTATGTTCGAGTCTCGTGTGGTAAGCTTGGATTGAGGCATTGTGATGCTACAGCGAGGGAGAAATATCAAGTGGATGATGAATCAAAAAGGGAAAATTAGATAGATGGAATAGCTTGATAGTAGACCGAATCGGTATGGTAAGGATGTGATTAATTCTTCATATGTGTTCGAGGTAATGGGCTTTTGCAGGTATTGTGCAGCAAGGCTCTTGAGTTCTGACAGCTTGCTTAGCTTGGTTCGGGTAGAAGGATTCAGTCCTGGCAGTTTAGCTTGTGCAATGGAATTGGGGGAGAGTTCTTGATAAGTTTTACCGTGGTTTAGAGGCGTATGAATTGCCTATGGGCATGCGAAGCATGGAATGTGTATTGATTTCTCTTCTTGATGGGATTGATGGAGAGTTCTTGACTAGTGGAGTACGTAGATGTTTGTGGTTAGGAAGGGAGATGGAGTTCTCATGTTATACTAGTGTGGTATGGTATATGCGATATGTGGTGGAGGATTGGGATTGGTGTGTGTAAGGTTACGGTTCTGTTCATAATGGAAAGTCATTAAATTCTTAAGCAGCACGGGCAGCTGCAGGTGATTAAAGAATCGATCTTCAAATGATTAGGAAATGGTATTGCAACCGATAGTGATTCGACGGGGTATATGTTGTTCCA